ATCTACGTGAATGAGGTCACTTTCTTGTTACCCGGAAGCATATGGCGCAGAGTAGTGCGCACTCAAAACCGGATCGCATCAAATGGGCGCTTTCGCGAGTACGTTTGCTGATAGTAACGCCATGTGATTCGGCTAATAACACAAGGATTTCATCATTTTTGAAGCCACGCTGAAAATACTCAGCAATCTGTGCATTCATGACTGGATGTAATACCGGTAGCTTGGCTGCAGCATTTGTACCTGAGGGGACAACTCTGAGTAGCTCCTGATGCATTCATGTTAATGAGACATGTTATGTAAAGTGTGTGTTATGTAAAGTGAGTGCTCAAGTAGAGTAGAAAAGTGCTATAGAAAACCAGTCCATTTGCCATTAAGGATGAAATGATGAGACTGCGCCTACGCCTATTAGATAAATAAGGATTATTATGTACTGTGAATCATGAGGAGTTACTCTAGTAGCATCAAAGAATCAAAACAAGGAGATGGAAATGTTTTTAATGTGTCCCCTTTTAAAGGTTGCAGTTTGGCAAGCTTTGAGGTCCATAGTAAAGCAGCAGATATGAACTAATAAGTTGTCAGGGAGGATTTCAAGTGAGTGTAAATGTAGAAGGAGGACTTGAAGGGGGTTTTTGGCTGCACAAGTAGTTGACCTCAAAGGGGGCACAAACTCAGAATGTTTTCACTGTGCCTCATAGCTAATCTGGCTAAACTGTACATTTCTTTAATTGTTGCGGAAAGCTTCTGGCTTGTGTTTCAAGACTTTTTGGATGTACGTTTAATGGAATTATGGCAAGAGCTATAAAAATAAAACTCAAGTTTTATTGAACTGTAGAAAGAGTTTGAGACCCAGTGATGTTTAAATCTAGAAAGACTGACTCTAAACATTACCATTACTTCATGTTGTAGTCAAGAATGAGCTTTTACCTTTCAATTTGATTTTACATTCAGAGCTTTTCATTGCAATTCTAATATTTGTAGTCATACATAAATATGAGACGACTTCTGCTCGATGAAGGCAAATCAGGTAAATTACCAGAAAAAGAAATGTTTGTTTCACGCTAATGCTGATGCTGATTTGCAATAATAACATAAAATAAAACACTGTCCTATAGCACCGTCCTTTGTGGGTGTTTAACCCTGACATTTTATCAAGTTCCTGTTAAAATGACATTTTATCTCTTAGCTTAGTAAGAGTTTGCTCAGCATGTGAGCCAGTTTTTATCTATAACAACTCTGCTAGTGAGATACTGACTGCGTAAACAAAAGAGCCTAAACCGCACCATTCTCCAGTGAAGAACAATCCGGTCTTTGACTGTGGCTGATTGTGATCGAATGACTGCTGAATAGCTCTTTTTGCTTCTTATCAGTACTCTGCAGCCTCCACCAGAATTGTTTTGTGGTAAATAAAACACAAAAATCATTGTTTTGTTTTTTTATTGAATAATG